AGATAGATTCAGAAACTATATGACTCGATGGGTTGCCTCATGGGATAGAACTTTCCTTGGTGCCTCGGGAGGAGAACTTTCTTTTTTGGAGGGTCTCGTTACCTCGTGGGTATGGATTTAACTTGGTTCCTCTCGAAAGAGGACTTTTCTCTGGGATTTGTGTCTCCTGGAAGAGGGTTTTTCTTTCTTTTCGGGCCTCTTACAAGAGGATTTTCTCAGGATTTGGTGCCTCTTGAAAAAGGACTTTCTCAGGGATTTGTGTCTCTTGAAAGAGGACTTTCATTGGACTTACTACCTCTTGGAAGAGGACTTTCTCAGGACTTTGTGCCTCTTTGGAAGAGGACTTTATTTCTTTTTAGTGCCTTAGGAAGAGGACTTTGTGCCTCGGGGAAGATGACTTTTCTCGGGGATTTGTGCCTCTAGGAAGAGGACTTTCCTTACCTTCTTAGGCCTCTTGGAAGAGGACTTTCTTTCGACTTAGTGCCTCTTGTGAGAGCACTTTCTTTGGACTCGATTTTCAATATTCTTTAGGAGCCTCTAAACCACAACCCGATATCTATCTCACGGTGGTTGGGCGCTCCGATATTATTGAAGGATAGACATTCCCCGCCCATCTCTCTTTCTAACTCTATTCTCTATCTTGGTACGGGAGTCTATCACTATCTCCAGTAATCCAATCATCTAACTCTGACCAAATTACATATCTCTACTCTCTACTCGTTTACAGTATTACTTTTCTCAAGTTGTACAACTTGTCTATTGTATTTCTCATGAATGGGGCTAGACATGCTTGCTGGAGATGGAAGGCTAGGCGACTTGCTGGAGGAGGCTCGCCGGAGCTATATGGATGGCGTGTTTCGCCGGAGGAGGCTCGCCGGATCTTTGCAATGGCTCGACAGCTCATGGCTCGCTGCTGCTGGAGCCGCGAAGAGGGAAGGAAAGGAGACCACTTCTCTCTCCCTCCACCCCTGCCAACCTTTCTCTATTTCTTTATTTTACTCTCTTGTCTCTCTCTTTTTCTTCTAGTATCCTTTTTTCCAATAATTGATGGAAAGGATATGGGTCCCCTCACCACACACTTCTATGTACAAACTATTTTAATATACATATATATTAAAGGATCTCGTGACAACGGGGGGCTGACGAACACGAGAAGAGTGACGGAGGGGAGGAGCGCCGGCAGTGGGCGCCGCTCAAGGATCTCGTGATGACGAAGCTGCCGTAGTGGAGTGTTGGGCGGTGCTGTTAAGCAGTGACTCAACGGGTGATGATTCGGGAGAGGCAGTAGGCATGGCAGGAGGTGAGATAGTGGGGGAAGGCTGGAAATGAGTGGATTCTAATGTGGGAAGGAAGGGAAAATCAGCCGTGGGCGACGGATCGGAGACTCCCGCGATAGAGAAAAGGGAAACACGGATTTGTCAAAAACGATATCCCGGGTATGAAAGAATTGATGGGTTTTCAAGTTGTAAACATGTCATCCGTTTGTACCAAACGGGTAACCAACAAACATACACCGGACACTAGAGTAGCAAATTTATAGGGGAGTTTTTGACTAACATAACATAGACACCCAAAGACACGTAGATGGCTAGGATTACAGGGCTTAGAGGATAGAATTTCAAGTGGAGACTTGCCATTTTAGAGAGGGGTAGGGAGACGATTTATGAGATACCCCGAAATTTTGACACATTCTCCCCAAAGTTCAAGGGAAAGAGAAGCCTAAAATATAAGAGCCCGTGCCACGTTGAGAATATGACAATGTTTGCGCTCAACGCGGCATTTTGTTGCGGTTTACCGACACAAGAAGTTTGAATTTGGACACCCATTTGATCATATATTCACGAAGAGGTTTGTTGAGAAACTTAGTACCATTGTCGGAATGAACAATTTTTATCGTTTTTCCGTATTGATGAGGATCATAGCAAAGAATCATTTGAGACATGAAGTGACCTCGCTTTTAGCTTTAATTAGATAAACCCATACAACACGAGAATGGTCATCGACAATGGTTAAGAAATAATGTGCCCCGGTAGCCAAACAAGCAGAATATGGACCCAAAATATCACAATGACTTAAATAAAAAATAGGGGTTGCTTTATTAATTAATACTTGTAGGAAACGAAGAACGAATTTTTTTGGACATAAAATAAATATCACAAGTTTCCAACTTCTTAATATGAGAAGTGGTATTATTGAGACTAACAAAAGTAGACACTTGGGGAGATGGTGACCCAAAGGCTTATGAAGTAGAAGTGGATCAACAATAGATGCGTGACCGCAAAATACATAGACTCCATTAGGCAATTCACCCCTTCCAATCTCTGTTTTCGACAAACGGTCCTGCATTGCACAAAAAAATTCATTAAAGATCACATGACAAGTGTTATCACGAATAAGACAACCAGCGGAAATCAAATGGCAATTTAAATTTGGCACTAACAGAACACCAGACAACACAAGGGTGTGTGATACGAATAGTTAATTAGAATATTTTAATTAGTTATATTATTATTTAGTAGTTAATTATTATTATTTATCAGTATTTTATAGATTAGGGTTTTTGTTTGGGCCCGAGCCCATTAGGTCATGTAGGTGTGGCGTCTCATCTCTATATATTGTAATCCCGTTTTAATATCATTCAATCAATCAATAATCAATAATTCTCTTAATCTCGTTCTCTCTTCTCTCGAGTCCGGAAACGCTCGAAGTTTTCCATTTGGAGCTTGAAGACGCTCGAAGTTCTTCCTATCCGATACCCTTTTCGTATCAAAGTGCTCTCATTGAGAGGAACCCCAAAATCTCACAACCAAAAAAAAAACAAAAAAAAAAATAATTGGTTTCATTTTTCCTATCAGATCTTCCCCTCCTTGCTAACGCAACATCCGGTATTGATTCAAGAATCTGGAAGAGACGAATCCCAACAGTACTTCGCCACCGCCACTGAAAGTTCACCTTCACACCTTTAATTTGCGTTCGAGTTGAGCCACCATCGTTGATCGGAAAATCCAAGAAGCATTTGCAAGTTCTTCTACGTAGCTGTAACAATTCTCTGCTGGAAAGCAAGGCCGCGCCTTGGAAAGTTTTGGCTGCCATACAATTAGCCAGTGAACTCTTTGGTTTTCATTAGGCGCAAACAAAAAAAAAACAAAACAAAATGCAGGCAAAACAATTTGGAGCATAATCATAGCAATAGTTGAGTGCCAATTTGAGGAACAGGACCAAAAAAGAATTGCTTATTGCGAGGTATTTTTCTTTTAATTGCTCCCTCACTTTGCTTGGGCTAATCATTACCGAGAGTATTTTTTGGGTGACAAATTGCTACATCAATTGCACCATCTAAAAGAAAAGTTGATTCAAATTAACCGCCACAAGACTTGAGGTTTTTTTGGGATGAAAGACCAAAATAAGAGTAAAACATTGATTATATATCAAAATAGGAGGAGAAAGATAAAATCCCCAAAATAGGAGTTGCTAACTCACCTTCTCACACAACAATCAGACCTCCTTTCTCCTGACCTCTTTAGTCCTTTCTGCTGCCCGAATGTAAACAAATAACTTGGGATGAACAAACTTGTCATACTCACTACCACTTCCGGATTCTACAAAGGACTTCCCTTACAAGATACTTCATACCCTTTTTTTCTTGTTTTCTCAGTCTCTTTACAATAACTTGAGATTTTCTTTGCTTGCCTTATTTGATTCATTTTTTGTACCTTCTAACGATGATGGAATATGAACTAACTTACGGTACTGATAACACCGAGATTTAATTTATTTTTACCATCATTTTAATTTATTACAGTATTTATTATTTAATTGTTGATAAAATAAATGATATTCCAATGATTATTGCAGAAGAATAATACCGCTCTCTATTGCCAACACCACCCCCATAATATGCACCATCAACTTTAAAATGCCACATAAATTGTCATACAGTGTCAAAAAAGACATAATGTCAAACATTACAATATATAATCTCACAACTAATAATGCATAATGCCACAGATGCCAATATGTAATGTCACAAATGCAAATATACAGTGTCACAAAGGCATAATGCCAAATCTTAGCCATATTGCCATGTACGATTGCCGGCAACTATCACCCCTCGTAAATCTACCTTTATGGCGGCTGGATGACCAATCGCCCCACACGGTGGTAGACCTCGTTTTCTTGATATCAAATTGCCATCCCAAAGCACCCAAACAAAATTCAAAGAAAATAAAATTTAATTAATGATGAAGAGAGAACCGGTCATTTTTGAAATCAAGGTTTTGAGAGAAGGAGGTGAGGTAGCGTTGTAGATTTGACAAGGGTGCAGCGGCACGATGAATCTGAGAGGGGTGGGAGCGGCAGCGGCGATGGCATTGAAGTTAGGTGGCGGTGAAGGCAACAAATGCTATGGAACGTAGAAGCAAACCGGGAGCAAAAACGAGATCCAAGGAAGAGGGATTATTTTTGTCAATTTTGATTTTTGGAGCAACACTAAGAATGGCAGTGATGTTTTTTAATTTTAATTAACTCCTATTTTGGGTATATAAGTTAGAGACTCCTATTTTGGGGATATGCCTAATGATTTACTCCTATTTGGGGGGTTTTCTTTTTTTTTTTGGTGATATATTTGTTTGGTGGTACTCATTTTGACGATGGACTCGGCATTTGGCAGACTTCTTATTTTGTTAGAGAAGGTTCTTTATGGAGAAATTGAGTATGATGAAGGGGTTTGTTTGATTTTTGATCACGTGTATGAAATTATTATGAAGCTCAGGTCAATCCATAATTGTAAAGGTCAAAATGATTATGATGCGCTCGAGATCGAAATTTTTTGCTCGGTACAGGATTTGGTCCGTGGGCCCCCAATTTTGCCGAGTTTGATTCCTTTGGAGTTACAAAACTTTAGAACAAACATGTTGGGCGCTATGGAAATTCTCATTGACACTCCGCCATATGCGCCAAATGTGGTCTCTACAGTAATTGAGCAAAACGCTGAAACACAGGACCACGCATCCAAGGAGGGATCAAGCGTTGACTCACAAGTTGGAGATGAAGTGGACATCAAACCTAAAGCAATAAACAAAGATGACAGGAGGTTCAACGTTGTGGACAAAAATGAAGGTCCTCTTGCAGAAGATGTTGCTAATGTCGACAAGCCAGATCCTACTTTTCAGGAATTTTCTACCTCAGCTGGTGTGGTCATTGCAGAATATGAAATTCCAAAAAGTGTTGACAAAGTAACAGATGCAGATGGTAAACAAGCACACTCACTTATGTTGATTGACACCATCAAGTTGTTTGAGCTTGTCGATGTGGTCAAGACGGAGCACCTGGTTTCGCCGAGAGCAACTACATATGTTCTGTGCCCCGTCTCATCTTTCCATCACTTTGCTCCAAGATCCAAGATGGTTGAAGATTCAAAGAGTGGATTGCTCCTTTGGTTTAGCATTCTTTCTCCGGTTCTAAAGCATGAGTGGGAGCCTCCACCTTGAGGACAAGGTGGATTTTAAGGGGGTGGGAATGATACGAATAGTTAATTAGAATATTTTAATTAGTTATATTATTATTTAGTAGTTAATTATTACTCCCTCCGTCCACCTAAGATCTTTCCATTACGCGTTACGAGGTCATTTAGGTGTGGCGTCTCATCTCTATATATTGTAATCCCGTTTTAATATCATTCAATCAATCAATAATCAAGAATTCTCTTAATCTCGTTCTCTCTTCTCTGGAGTCCGGAAACGCTCAAAGTTTTCCATTTGGAGCTTGAAGACGCTCGAAGTTCTTCATATCCGATACCCTTTTCGTATCAGTGGGTGAAAGCCGAACACACCCTTGTTGATAAGCATGTATCCGAGAACCCTCAGGTAGACTAATCCCGCATGGGGATATATCAATAACATCAAACACATGATTTTAATTTTGTCTCCAATCATATGATGGGATGCTCCACTATCCATCAACAATTTATTTTCAGTAGTACCATTTTATTGCTAAGAAGAGGATCAAAGGACTCAAGTAAGGGCATGAGCTTAGCCATTTCATCACTCAGAGTGCTCGAGGAGTCAATGTTGAAGGCATGTGCACCGGCAGCCACGTTGTGTTAATAGATTACATGACAGGTAAAATAAGAAGTGTATATGTGTGGTTGACTTTCATAAAATGGTTCTTATTTTGACTTTTAAGATAAATAAGAAGTGTATATTTGTGGTTGACTTTCGAATTTTTTCCTTAATGTGATAGATAAAAGTAAAATTCGATGTGATGGATAGATTATTAGTGAAAACGTATGATGTGATAGATAGAGTAAGAAAAAGTAGAGATAGAAGTTGTTTATAATATAGGGTGGACTGCCCACTCAGGCGCCTCCACACCCCGACCCGACAGGATTGTGAGGAAGATTAATCACGGTAAATCTCAATCTGGTATTTAGAGAGGTTACCCCGTATCTGATGCGCATGAGAAGCTATTACAAAGACGAAGTGTTTTAAAGAGCGGAGGAAGTATATATCTAATATGAAAATGTAGAATTTGAACGAAAAATGATAACAGCATGCCAAGCAAAAGCGAACAAAAAAAAAAAGAACATAGGTATGACCGGCATAAAACTAATAAATTTAAGCATTTTTATTGGAGATAATTGCTTGAATATAGAGTAACTAGTTTTCTACCCCGTGCTACGCACGGGCTTGTTATTAGGGCTCGTTGTCATAATGTTATTGATGCGATGGTTGAAAATGGAGAGTTTGGTTTATGATTTGATTTTCTTCCGTGCTACGCTTGGCATGTGTTAAAGGGTTGTGTATGTTTTGGTTTTGTAGGATTTTGAAAGGCTACATTGTATCCTTTTGTTTTGTGAAATGTGAAGAGTGATATTATTCTATTTTGGGGTTTTTTAATTTGATGTTGGTGGTTGAAGAGATTCATTTTTTGTAATGATTTTAGATGTTCATTTTGGCGTTGTACCGGTTGATGTTTGTTTTGGTGTTTTGATGTTCGTTTGGGTAAGATGAAAAAATGAAAAATAATCTTAGGGCTGATATTCATGAAAACATTTTTCATAAGTTTTAAACAATTCCAAAACACTTGGTGTTCGCCTAAACCAAAAACCAAGGCATCTGACGTTCGGCTTTCAGAAACTGGCATTTGGCTTTCGGAAACTGGCGTTCAGCATTGGTTTTTTGGCATTCGAACCAACCAAGTGGTTTTTAACATTTTAACATTGGTTTTTACTTCTAGGCACATTTAAATAGTTCTACAACAAAAAACATGTTAAAAACCACCTTTCATTTTTGGCCTTTTTGTAAAAACTATGTGAAACGGCATA